TTACGTGGCTACGTAATTACCACTGCAATCTTTGGCTTACAAATCAAGTGCCTTTTTCATTAAATCAGGAAGACAAATTTATTCAAAAGATCAGGCTCCAACTGACTTTTCAGTTTTATATACTCATTCATCCCTCAAACTTGTTTGAGTGCCTTTTCTGTACCAAGCCCTGTGCTTGGCATCATGGAAATAAGAATTGGCACTAGAAGTTCTCACTCATGACCCTGGGCAGGCCCAGGCTGAGGCACAGCTCCCCACCCCCTAGCTCAGACCCATCCCATCCTTTCCAACTCAGAAGAGCATATTGAAATTCAGGGGAATAAAAATACACTATTATAGAGATAACCATGGATCACACACTCCCATTTATAGGAAAGGGAAATCACTCTCAAACTGGAGTTTTTCACTTCTTCCAAGCAATCTTGGCACAGTGGTTGTTAATAACAATTGGGTTAGCTAAAGTAAGAAAGTATGTGTGTATGCATCTGTGTGTGTGTGTGTGCATGTGTGTGCGTGCGTGTGTGGTATGGGCAGGAAGGAGAAGTCAAAGAGGCAAAGAAAAGAGTGAAGACCAAGCCTGAAATGCCAAAGGAATAGCAACACTGAACAGAAAAGCAGAAGGCACCAGATATGGGGAGCATATCCAAGGCATGTCAAAGTGCACGATGTGGTACTTTCATCAAAGAGAAGTAGGACAGTGGTTATAGGTCAGATAGACCTAGGCTTGACTCCTGGCTCTAACACTTGCTGCATCTCTTTGGACAAGTAAAATAACTTTTGTGAGCCTCAATTTCTCACCTCTATTTTGGGACTAACAACAGTATGTACTTCTAGGGCTGAAGTGAGGATTAATTAAGAAAGTACATGCGAAGTGTTTAGTAGCTTGGCACATTGCACTCATTAAAAGGTAACTGCTGTTATCACCATTGTTGTAGTTTTACTAGCATCACCACTGATGGTCATTCAGGGAGCTATGAGTGTGAATGTAGGATGTAGGAGAAGGGCTGAAGCTGGAGCTGTAGACTTGGCAACCACCTGCACAAGACGGAGGAAAAGTTATGTCCCTAGAAGTGGAGGACACACCCTGGCATCCCAGTCTGGGAAGGAGAGAGGTGGAGGGAAAGCAGAGGAAGGAGGTCGAACTGCAGGTATACACCCACAGAGGACAGTATGTCAAGAAGGCATAGATGCTGCAGGAGATGGAGTCAGTTGAAGCTTAGGAAGGCATCTCTTAGATCTGGTGATCAGGTGAGCTGCTATCTGGGGCAAGAGCGTCCAGGCAGAAGGGATGGCAAGTGCAAAGGTCCTGGTGAGGTAAGCAAGGGCCTGGAGTGTTGGAGAAACTGAATGGAGGCTAGTGCTGTGGGGATGGAGTAAGCTGAGGGGACAGTGGGAGGAGCTGCAGCCAGAGATAAGGAGGGTAGGGAGGGGGGCAGTTAGGACAAGGCCCGTTGTCCATCTGGGGATGGAGAGCCATTCATTCTTACATTTCACTTAACAAGCATTTCTTATGTGCCTACTATGTGTCTGGCACTATGCTAGATACTGAGGATACAGTGATAAGCAAAATGGACATAGTCCCTGCCCTCTGCATGGAGGGTACAGTGAGAAAGATGTACAATGATCAGATAATCACACAAGTTGGTATATAACAACAAACTGTCATAACTACATGGCCATTCAAGAGGAATCATCAGGGGTGCTGACCTGGTCTGGGGGCTTCGGAGAAGGTTTGCATATAGAAGTAACATCTAGTCTGAGATTAGCTGAATAACAAGGAACTGAGTAGGTGAAGAGGGAAGAGATGCTCTTGGCTGAAAGGATACCAGGGGCGAAGGCCCTGAGGGGAGAGGACCAAATGGAGGCCAGAGGTCCAGAATGAGGAGAAAGGGAGAAGGTGCAAGGTGGGGCCTTGGGGGCTGCAGCAAGAACTGGGTTTTTTATCCTAAGAATGATGTGAAAGCATTGAGGAGTTTTCATCAAAATTACAGGTGTTTTGGAAATGTCCCTCTCACAATGTGGAAGATAGAGTGGAGGTGGGAAGGTGAGCAGGGCAGGATGGACTCAGGAAGCTACTATAAGTCTGGATGAGAGTTGATGGCAGCCTGAACTAGGGAGAAAAGGGAGAGACATGGCTGTGCTTGGGAAGTAATTTGGAAGCAAAATCTGTAATATGTGGTAAACGGAAAGAGAGACTATGTCCAAAATAGTGTATGCAAAACTGGATACTTGCCTAAAGAAATTGTAACTGAATTTAATCAAGTCTTTAGAAGCAGACAGGATAGATGGATAGACTATATGACACTACAAGACAGAACTCAACCAAATCAGAGTGTAGGACATTCCAGGGAACAAATACCATGATGTTGCCAATAAATAAATGGCACAAAATAGGGGGGAAAAAAGATTTAAGAAACAGAACAGGGCAATGTTGTATCTTTCATGCAATGTGTGGACCTTGTTTGGATCCTGATTCAAACAAACTAAACATCTGTGGGAGAAATACAGAAATCTGAATGCAGACTGGGCTGTAGATGATATTAAGGAATTACTGTTCATTCTGTTAGATAAACTAATGGCATGGAGGATTTAAATGCTGCACACACTTTGTGTGCATATGTGTGTATACACGTACACATACATATTTAAACCTTGCCAATGAGAAATGCACACTCAGTTTTTAGGGGTTAAATGACATCTTGGATTTGTTCCAAACACTCCAGAAAAGAAAAAGTGGAATATAATCTATTAAACTGGCAAAAATGATGTCAATTGTTGAAGCTGGGTCATGGGTCCTTGGAGGTTTATTATACTATCTGTCTTGGGGTATGTTTGAAATTCTTGAAAATAAAAAAGTTACCAATAAAAATAAAATGATGAAAAATAGAGTTCATACTGAAATAGGGGACACAAGAAAAGAAGCATGTCCAAGGGGGAAATCACGAGTTCAGCTTGGAGGCCTCTGGGCCAGAGGTGCAAAAGTAAGTGCAGACAGTAAATCTGCACAGATGGGAAATTCACAGATTCAGTGAATCTGTGGGCCTGGAGAAACTACCCAGGGAAGGAAGAAAGCTTTGTGAGATGAGAGCCCAGGACTAGATATGAAGAACTGGAAGGCATGCTGACCAGGCAGAGGGCAGGAGTTCTGTGACTGGGGAGGAGCAGCCAGAAGGAGGGATCACAGAAGCCAAGGGAAGTGAGTGTTTCCAAAAGGAGGGCGCAGGTGACAGAATCGAATACCGCCAAGATGTTAAGCAGACAAGAACCATGACAAGTCCACTGGGTTTGGAATCATGCATGGGGGCTGCTTAGGTGAGAGCTGTTTAGGCTGAGGTCAGGAGTGAGGTGAGGAGGGAATGGGAGGTGAAGGAAATGAGACAAAGAATTGGGCAGCACTTTGAAGAAGTCTGTCTGTGATGTGGGAGAAAGGGCAGTGGCTCGAGGGGATAGAGTGGAGGAAATAAAGAGGTTTTTGTTGTTTTTAAAGTGAGACATTCTTAAATACATTAAAATAATGAGCAGGACTGGGCATAGTGGCTCACGCCTGTAATCCCAGTGCTTTGGGAGGCCGAGGTGGGCGGATCACTTGAGAGCAGGAGTTCGAGACCAGCCTGGCCAACATGGCAAAAGCCTATCTCTACTAAAAAGACAAAAAATTAGCTGAGCGTGGTGGCGTGTGTCTGTAATCCCAGCTACTCAGGAGGCTGAGGCACGAGAATCACTTGAACCTGGGAGGCGGAGGTTGCAGCGAGCTGAGATTGTGCCACTGCACTTCAGCCTGGGCAACAGAGCAAGACTGTCTCCTAAAAAAACAGATGAGCAGAATGATCTAGTAGAGAAGAAAAAGCTGAATATACAGGAGAAGGGACCGTCAGCAATGTACAATTCCTGAGAAAGCAGCAGGGGACGGCAAGAGGAGGGATCGCTCCTGGATTCTATTAGGGAGGAAGAGATGAACCAGGCAGGTAGCTGAGTGTTGATGACATCCTTCCTCTGTGTTTTTCTGTTTTTTTTTTTTCCCCCTGAGAAGTAGGAGGTGATTCCACCCACTGGCAGGGAGGGGAGATTTCGGGAATTGGAGGCATAAGGGTCTTGAAGAAGGTTGGAGATAGCTATGAGAAAGGAAAGAATGAGTGACCAGAGAGAAATGGGGTTGCCCAGCAGGGTGGAGGTTGGTGATTTTGTGTCTGACAGGAGACAGTGGACGAAAGGCTGAACCAGGGCAGCAGGCTAGGCGGTGTTGGTGGAAGGCAAGGATGGTGTGGATGGTCAACAGGGGAGATGTCCCTATATCTGGCACAACCAAGGAGGACTTCGTGGAGAACGAACCTAGGCCTGTGAGCAGATGGCTTTGATAGCAAGAGCCAGAAAAGGGGGCCCAGTGTCTTCTCAACTCCAAATTCCCATCTTATTGCAACCTACTGCCCTGCTCAGTGCTTCACCTCTCCAGTTCCCTCCTGCCTCCTGTTCCAATACTGTCTTTGACTCTTGGAATCTAATATGGTTTCAAGGCCCATATCAAGGTTGTTTGCCAATTTAAAAATATGCTGTTGCTTCCCAGTTCCCACCAAATGGCAAGCAGTTTGGTAAGCTGGGTGAGCAGGCATGGCAGTTATGTTGCAAACGGGGTTCCTGCCTGCCTGGGAGGATCGGACAAGACTGGGCTTTCTTAGGCCCACGGCCCACTGTCTTCACCCCTCACACAAGCTCTTCAAAAGCATAAAGGAGCATGTTTTGCTTGCATCTAACTAGTTCTGGATGCCACCAAGCCTTGCAGTGGGCATCAGTGACCAGCAGAGTACATTCTGTTCGTGCCCTTCCCAGACCCACCCGCTCTCCGCAGGGCTTGGGCTGTTGGCACTGTCTCTGAGGTTGCTCTTACAAATGGCACCTATTGGTAGCAGCCCAAACATGATTAGGGGAAATAAAACCCTGTAGGGGACTGTGGGAGGAACTGAGCAACATGGGCAGCACTTAAAACTCATCGTTTCTCTTTCTAGCTTAACTCAGGTGATTCGAAAGTTTGCCAAGCAACTGGATGAGTGGCTAAAAGTGGCTCTCCACGACCTCCCAGAAAACTTGCGAAACATCAAGTTCGAATGTAAGTACTGAGTTGGGAGTGAAAGGGAAGAGAGAATTACATTTTAGTGCCAAATATTTTACGTAAGTTGTTAATAACAATAGTAGCAGCAGCTACTGTTTACTGGTTGACTGTAAAGCACCAGGTATTATACTAATTATGTATATACACATATTTAATCCTCATAAAATGTTTATTATAGGTGGCACACTTCTTCCTTTACAGAGGAGGAGTCAAGCTTAGAGAGGTAGTGCAGAGACAGGATTTTCTCCCAGGTCTGACACCAAAGTTTCTGCTTACCACCACCATCCTCCTTATCTCATTTAATCCTCATGCTGCCTCTGCGATGTAGGAAGTAGTATCTCTATTCTACAGATAAGGCTCTGAGAGGCAAAGAAAGTTGCCCCAAAGCCACGCAGCCACACAGCTGTAAGTAGGGGCAAGGAATCAAACTCAGGTCTGAGATTTCCTTGAAGTTCCTGCCCATAAAATGGTGGTAGCAGGAGAGAGAGAACAGCTTAAGGGCTTCACTCATTCTCTGCCTAATTAGAAAGCCAAATTAATATTTCTCATAAAGGGATTGAGACCGTGAACCCTTTCTTTGCTGAGTGTTGGCACCCATTCCCCAGCATTAGTTTTGTTTTTCTGTTTCAATCTGCCTGTACTTGCGGGGAGACTCATGTACGGTTTGTTTATTGCTATTAAAGATGAAATGATTTTCAGTAAAACAAAGTTTTAAAATATACATTTTTAAAGCCCCATTTGAATACAACAGCTTGCTATTCTTGCCCGAAATAAGTGCCAGTGAGCAAAATGAAGGCGATCAAATTACCCTTTCTCCACAGGCAAAGGGAGCCCTTTCAGACGCGCTTTGAGGTTGCCTGCAGTGGCCATCACCTATTGATAAAGCCCGCTTTATTTCATGGCTTTCAGCTCTTTTCTTTTCATGAGCACTAAATTCCACATCACAAAGTTAAAGAAAAAGTAATTAAGGGGAAGGATTAACGATTGATCAGCCTGGAAAATTAGAAGTCTCCCATCTGCCCCCTCCCACCCCCACTCCTCCACCCCACACCTTATTTTTTCAAATCAAGCCAGCTCTGAGTACAAATTAGAATAATCCTAGGGAAATTTCTGACTATTACTTGACCAGTTCAGAAATTACCAAGAAGAATGCCCCCGCACCCATTTTAATTATGCCGACAAAACAAACCTGTTCAAAGTCGGCGGTGAGGAGGTTTGTTGGACCTTCCACCTGTGTGTGTCGGGCGGAGGCTCTTCTTCCCAGGGAGCCCAGCCTGGGAGTGTATTTTGAGAATGTGCAAGGGGTGGAAACAAGCCCCACTCCAACAGCTCTGTAAGAATGAAGAGCTAGGGCAAGCACATGTCTGGTCTGCATTGAAATCCGCAGATATAAGATCACCCTACTTCAAATTATCAGCCTATTATGTCAGTGTAGCAAACAAGACCTTTTCCTAACTGCAGTCATCATCGAAACATGCAAATAGGTCATGGAGCTCATTTGATAAAAAGGACAGATTATGAATGCAAAGCCAGGTTCCATCCCAGAAGCACCTCCTAGCCCCACACACCGCTGAGGCTCAATCAGGATTTACTATTAGACATACTACTTTTTAAAGGGACTTCTTCAAAGCTTCCACTTGATTCCTGCAATTATTTATGGGGAGAAGTGATTGAGCTTGCAATTAGTGAAATGAAGACAATAATTGCCTTTATTCACGGTTGACTGACGCCACCATTTCTCACACCTGCGAGTGTATCGTGTGCATGACTTTGAAATATGTACCCTGAATGTCACCATTAGGAAATAGTTGTTGAAGCTCACATGGGAGAACAAAGAACCAAGTGCAGGGTTTTGCCAGTGGGTATATAAAATGGGATTGGGCGGTGAGACAAATGTAGGCAAAATAAGCAGCCTACGTTTTGAAATCTGCCCCTGGAAAATCCAAGTTAGAATCATAAAGATTGCAAATATTTCAAACTAATTCTTTTCCCTTTGCAGTGTCGAGAAGGTTCTCCCAAATTCTGAGACGGCAAACATCACTAAATCATCTCTGCCAGGTAGCTGTCCTGCGCTATGTGTTTTAACCACTGCTGAGTCATTGCAAATGAGGGGGCAAATTCGCAAAAACAACTTCCTGCAGGATCTTTCAGGTTACCAGGGCACTCTCTCTATTCATTTCTGCAGATAAGGAATGAAAACATTAGCCAATAACTAAATAGTTTCAACTAATATACAAAATAATTTCTGATATCAATTGCCCCTTAACCTTTCAGATATGTTCTAGGTCCACAGTTCTGTGTTTCTCTTAATTATCCAGCCCAAAACGTATGTAGTGGTTGAATCAAATGATTCAAACAGATTAAGAGGATGATTTGTTTGTTGTATCATCGGAGTTCAAAGTCATATAATATATTCAATATTTGCCCAATTTTGTTTAGTTTTTTTCCAGATCTGCATTATTTTTAGCACGAAAGTGACATATGCTTGCTATCAAAAACATTTAAAAATATAAGTGTATTAAGTAGAAGCGGAAGATCCCACTGCATGCCCCTACCTACTCTGTAGTTACAGCTTGATGGCACATAAGTACATTTCTATTAATTTTGCACTTTAATGAAGGGACTCTAAGTCTGTTAAGGCAACCGATTAACATTACATTAAAATATTAATGACGTTACAGCAGAGGTGGCAAACCAGTGGCCACAGGCCAAATCTGGCCCTCAGATGTGTGGGGTTATTGTTGTTTGGCTTGAATATGTTCAAAACAATTTTTTCACATGGTCACTAACAGTTGGAACTGGGAGATGACAGCTAAACCTTCAAGAGCTGACAACTTGCTCCCAGAGCCCCGTTTCCCCAGGCAGCTGTCAGCTGTTGGGCCAAACTTCTCCACAGTGGCCACCATCCTCATTCCACCAACTCTGTCACACTTGGCCCACCTCACTCCTGAATGTCACCTGCCTGCCCCCTTCCTGTGTTTCTGTTTGCAGCCTCTCCTTTAAGGTGCTGTTGGTTCTGGGTGGGTTCAAGGTCAAGATGGGAGGGAGGGGTTTCTAGTTAGAGTGGTCTGAAGGAGGGCCCCAGGCCAGGAACCAGAAAGTATAACACAACAGCCACACATACCTCCCTGCTCCTGTCCTGCCCCTGGCATGGACAGCACAGGGGTTGATTTGGAGACCAGAGGGAAATTCTTCCAGATTCATGCAGGCTGCTACAGAGGCTACACCTGGGCATTGTTCTGGTGACGGTGCAGAGCCTGACAGATTAATGGGATTCAGGGAAGAAAATTAATATTGGCCTAACAAAGAAACATTGCCTTATTTCTGCGGATGCTATGCCAGCCTGGCCCTCTGGTTCTTTTTTTCCAGCTTAGAAGAGTGGCTCTTGGGTCGTATCAGGGAACTAGACGTGGTTTTGGTGCCTCCCTCTGGGGATCAGACAATTTAGAGAGGACTTTGTCCCTTTAACGCACATGTAGATAAAAGCGTCCACACCCATGCCCATAGCCACGTGTTGCACAAGCGTGGGGGTGCCCACATGTTCCCTCTCCACCTTCCGCACAAACATAGCATGTAATTTAATCAGCAAATGCCCCCTTTCCATCTCTACTGGACAACTTTCAGACACATTCCCAGATCAGACAGAGGACTAGGGTTAAGTCTGGGAATGAAACACCAGCTAACATCCCAGTGAGCTTTCCTAAACACACACACAGCAAGTCAGACTAAACAACGTCCAACTGAAGACTCACCTCAAATATTTAGACCCAAGATTCGCACGTCCAGGCTCTTTCAGATACACCAGGCAAGTAAACACTTGGCATTCCTATCTTAACCATTCACTTTACAAAATATTTTGGGTGCCTACTGTGTGCCCAATACTGTGCTTAGTAGTACTTGCCCTCAGCAGGAAAACAAAAGTGTTAAATGTGATGAAAGAAACAGAATGGAAATAGGTGGTCAGAGATGGCCTTTCCATGGGTGTGACATTTAGGCTGGAGCATACATCGTAGTGGGGCTGCTGGGGCAAGGAGGGAGAAGAATGTTCCAGCCAGCAAGAACACCATGTGCAAAGGCCTTGAGGTATCAACACAGTCACTGAAAGAGAAGCGATCTGAACAACAGTAGCCACTTTTATTGAGCTCCCTGCACTATGCACTCTGTTTTTTAAACACTATCTCAAGGAATCCTCAACAGCAGCCCTTCTTTAAGAGGTAAGCACTAAGGCCCTAAACACGATGGTAAGAGACACCATTAAAAAGCATGTTCTAGGTGGGGCGCGGTGGCTCAGGCCAGCAATCCCAGCACTTTGGGAGGCCTAGGTGGGCAGATCACTTGAGGTCAGGAGTTCAAGACCAGCCTGGCCAATGTATCGAAACCCTGTTTCTACTAAAAATATTAAAAAATTAGCTGGGTGTGACAGCATGCACCTATAATCCCAGCTACTAGGGAGGCTGAGGCAGGAGAATCACTTGAATCTGGGAGGCAGAGGTTGCAGTGAGCCAAGATCGCGCTACTGTACTCCAGGCTGGGCGACAAGAGTGAAACTCCATCTCAAAAAATAAAAATAAAAAAAATAGCATGTTCTAAACACTTACTTACAGAATTCACTCTTTGGTAAACAGTTCATTTCATTGTAATAAAGTGGCTCACAATGCATCTCTGAAGGAACATGCTCAGGAAAGAAAAAAACAAAAAAGGTAGGTACTATTGTATCTCCATTTTATAGATTAGGAGGCTGAGGTTAATCTACTTGCCCACCCGAAATCAATCAGCTGGTCAGCAATGAGGCCAGGATTTGAACTAGGTTATGTTTGAATGCAGGACACCTTACCTTTCTATTCAGTTGTTTTCATTATCCTTAGAGACTCACCTAACTCATATATTCTACGCCGATCATTAGAGATTCACCTCACTCATATATTCTACGCCTTCGTGACCTTTAAAGAGTTCTCCAATTATTTAACTCAGATTTTACTTGTGCCTGGATGGTCGGGGTACAACAAGGGGTTGTCAGTATTTACCTTTGCCTAGGAATTTACAAGCATTAGGAGACTTGGCAATGTCTTTGTGTATTTTAAATCTTTTTTTTAATTTTATTAAAAGACATTGTGAAAACATGCAAGTAAAGGAAATGATCCTGGATATATATTTTTCTTTTCTCAATATTGTTTCAACTTGATGATATTGTTCCAGGTATTGTTCCAACTTGTAAATTTAAGTTCACTAATGAGGGTTCCATGAAAAAGCCACAGCTTTAAAGAAAAAAAAAAAACCACATACACACACACACACACACACACATATATAAATATAAAAACTTATTCACACACTATACACATCCCTCCATCCACTAACAAACTACTGAGATGTATGGTGGTATAGTTTCCCTTTTCCTCCAACCTAATTATTCATATATGTTTTAATCATTATAGTTACATTTAAAAAAGCAAAAATGGAAAACTAGAGCATAAACTGTTTCAGAATGTATTTATATGAAAAATATACACTTTGAAATATCTGGGATTAAGTTAGGCCCTGGGGTAGCAAGAACACTTCTAAATCCCAGCCTGTAGCTTCTCAGGGACTAGAGATACAAGGATTATTCGGCACAGAGCTCCCATCCCACAGGCTTACCTCAGAAAGCTGACAGATCTCTGGGCTTCATCCCATTGTTCCATGGGGTCAAGACCAAAGGGACTGGAATCAGCAGGGTTTGGTCTGGCCCAGCCCACCCTGGAAGTTGCTTGTAGAGAAAAAGACATGTGTGGAAAGAGCCACAGGAGAAAACAGTGTCCGCATCTTCTGAGTTATGGAGTCTTCCGGTGCTTTCCTGAAATTGAATTTCCCGGAATTTCAAGGTAGTTTGCAAAATACCATAAGCAGATGCATTAACAAGGCATAAAAGGAAATACAGTGAAGGGGTTTAACAACCCATGAGCTAATGAGTTGACTGGATTGGATTACAGGCATCTCGAACAGTGATCCACAGTGCAGACATCACGTTCCAAATGCTGGAAGACTGGAGGAATGTGGACCTAAACAGCATCACCAAGCAAACCCTTTACACCATGGAAGACTCTCGCGATGAACATCGGAAACTCATCATCCAATGTAAGCTGTCCCACCAGGGATTGTTGTCCTGTTTTTGTTTTTAAAAGAAAGAAAGAAAAAGTATCTTAGTAAATACTGAAGTGGCATTCCCACCCTGTCCTCCTTCCCAGCATCTCTTCTTCCTCATTGTTCCTTTTAAATGAGTCGGTCCAGAAGGAAGGGCTAATTGACTTAAGAGGACATGTGTCAGCACTGCTGGGTAAAGAGGGTTCTGGTGCAATTGGGCAGCACACAATGTCATGCAAAGGGCCCCACGTGTGACCTGAATGCCAGCCCTGGTTCCATGGAGGTGGCATTAAATATGAGAACAAAAGCTTATTGCCTATCTCAGTGTATGTCAGTCTGGGGTCAGCTGGATATGCTGCCTATTTTTCATTTGAGGGTCACATGAGTCAGTCCACTTATTGGCAGGTGAACCTTTCAATCACGTTAAATGTTTGAGAAGCAGGTGGATGGCGTTTTCAGTTTTACTTCTGTGGATATATGTTCATGTCCCGGCGAACAAAGATTTCCACCATGCAGACTGCAGGTATACTGCTCCAAATATTAACCCCATGTAGGCAGGATGTTTGTTCTTAGTACTAAAGCAATATGAGAGGGCCAGAGAACATCATCATTGTTAGCACATCCCTGCTGTTCCTCAGACGCCCATCCCAGCTGACTGCCCAGGGCATCCCCTGAGCCCAATGACCCTGGATCCATTGGTGTCTACAGGCTACCTCCATAATTAGAGAACATGAGGTCAGGAAACGTGAGGGGACACTCCTCCCATCAGGTCTCAGAAAGGTGTTAAGAGCATGCACTCCCATGTTCTCAGTGGGGTGGTGAGGCCCAGGATCCCAAAAGTGACATTGCCTGGGGAGCTGCAGAGAGGCTGCCCCACCAAGAGGGGTCTTTCTGAAAGCCCCAAGCCCCTTCAGATTTCTTAGTATATGCCTTCTGCACTGCTGTCTTGAGGGAACTCTTCATTCAGCTACCCAGTTTAAACTTGAGGTGCCTTTAAACAAATAAAGTTCCCTAAGAGGGTCCTATTAGAGATCTCTTTCCCAATAAGCCCTTTTCAAAAGCAAATGGAATAGTTGAAATGTCTGAACATGTGGACCTTCCCCAGGACTTCTTTCCTGACTTAGCCCAAAGCTTACTCAGGCTGTTACTTCTTCCTTCACAGCTGCCCCCAGCCCACTTTTCCCCTGTTAAGAATTTTAGAGATCATCACTAAAATAATAATTCAGCTTATTGACTGCCTGCTCTAAGCCAGCTCCTGTGTCAGATCCAACACATGCGTGGTCCCATTGAATCTCCACATCAAGCCCATGAGGAAGACACTCTTATCACCCCCACTTTACAGATCAGAAAACTCAGGCTTAGAGAGCTGGTGAACCTAACTCAAGGTCACGCAGCCACTAAGCAATAGAGCTGAACCCAAGTCTGGTCTCACATCTAGTCTCAGCTTCACCACCAGGCCTTAATGCTGCTCATGTATTCATGGCAGGGGAGACAAAAAAAAAAAAAAAAAAGGAAATGTGGGTGAGTTTCAGAGGTTCCAGGATCTTTCCAAGTGTTTACAATCATGCTTCCTGTTCTGTTTTTTCCTGTCCCCTGGATGGAACATCAACAGAAAGCATGGCCCTGCATACCCTAATAGCACTGGGGGTACCTCTGATCATTGTGTCCCCAGGAACTCCCAATGGGCCAGGCACAGAGCAGGTGTCCAGCAAGGTTCATGGAATACCAAAGAGATGAGTGGAAACCCAGAGTGAACCTAGTTCTTAGCTCTGCGAATCTTCCTAGTAGTGTTAGACTCAGTTCTCTTCCCGCCTCAGCACCTTTCATGAGGGAGGAAAATGTGAACCAGACTCATGGGGAAAAATACAATCAGCATTGCTTGCTTAAGGGACCAGGCTCTGAGCCTTTGCTGGAGCACCGTGGAGGTCACTGCTGCCTCTCTCAAGTAAGAACCTCTGTGGCTTTCTCTTCAAGTTTCCTTAGGTACAGGGCAGAATGGTGCCCTTTAAAGCTGTGACTGCATTCTTCTGGGGACATAAATGCTGTGGTTCAGTTCAACCCAGCTAGTCCTTACTGAATGCCTGTCCTAAGTCAGGTACTGTATTAGATGCTGGCCAGAGGGCAGTGAATAAGATGGACACAACCCTTACCAACATGGAGTTTACAGTTAATGGTAAATCAGACCTCAAACATGTATTTACAGATGTGTTGCATCTTACCAAAGAGAACAGTGCCATGTAATGCAGTGCTGTGAAGGGGGAATTGAGGTAGGGTACCAAGCCTCAAGGCAGTCCAGCACATGTGTGTCAACCCTGTACCTCCCAAGCAGACAGCTGGGAAGTCCCTGAACACACATGGAGTTGGACCAAAGGTCATCTTGAGCAGGGCTGGGACAACTGTGTGCAGCACTCTTCTTTCCTCACAGCGAGCTGACAAATCTGCAAACTCTTGCTTGGGGGCGGGGGGTTACCATCACCTCTGTGATACAGATCTCAGCCAGCAATGCTCAGCTTACCTTAGATTTTAAAAGTGCACATTAGTACTTAAGCAAGCTGATTAGAATGAGTTATCATTGTAACTGCACAAGGTCTGTCGGGCATCCCAGCCCCATGTCCAAGTTCCATTGACTGGGATCCCCGGAGCTGGGATGCCCAACAGACCATGGTTCAAACCTTGCTCTTACACAGCATGGGGCTGGGATGCCCAAAAGACCTTGATTCAAATCTTGGCTCCAGTGCACTGTGACCTTGGTTTTCATTTCTGTAAAATGGGGCTAATGTGAAAGGATTAAATGAGACTATCTGTGCCACCTGCTTGGTACACAGTCTAGTATTAGCATAGTGAAGTGGTTAGGAGGCAAGCACTTGAGTCAGGCTGTGATTGAATCTTGTCTCTGCAATTCACTAGCTGTGAAAGAACAACCTTTGGATAATTACTCATCTTTCTTTGTCTCTGTTTCTTCACTTGTAAAATGGAGGATAATAATGGTACCTACCTCCTTGGGTTGTTCATCCGTTCAGTCAACAAACATTTGAGCATTCTAGTGCTATGACCCTCTGGTCTCAGAATCTTACTTCTTGTAGCAAGCATCTACTAAGTAAAACAGAGCAAAGTGGCCAGTCCTTTAAAATGAGAGAACAAAAACTGCTCAAGTGAAAATGAAAGAAACGTATGGATCTTGAATTGTGGTTTGATTTATTGATCTCTGCATACAGAAACACAAAAATGTGGTGAAAAGAGATGCTTCAAACTAGAGATCACCAGAGCCATGTTTCTATTTTCTAGAGCACTTCATTGATTAAAAAACACTTCCAGATTCAGTTATCTGAATTAAGATGAAGACAGGTTGTAAAGTGGTAGGATTATCTCTCCAATGAGGAAAATGAGCAGCAGAGAGACTGTTGCACTTACTCAACAAGTATCTATTAAGCACCTACTACATGCCACACAGAGAGGCTGCTTAAGCTACCTGCCTGATATAGTTGTGGTCCAGAAACATTTGAATTATCAAATGTGCCCTACCCTGGGCAGAGAGCAAGAGAGCAGCAATGACTCACCCATTAATTCAAGCAAGAATTTGTTGGGTAACAACTATGTCACAGATAATGCACCAGCTAATAAAGATACCAGACGAAGAACTAGCAGGGAGACACACATGCCCATCCAATTATGCCAGTGCCATTAGTCATATAATAAAGGTAGAAAACCGATACTAAAGTGCTATGTGAGTGCAAAGGAGGGGTGATCAGTTCTGCTGGCAAGGGGCATGGAAGGTTAAAGGGATTTCATACCAGGGCTATTTCAGCTGGGCCATGAGGAACCAAGTAGTGGGAATGGCCTGAAAAAACAGACTAAGGCTATGAAAAAAGTAGGGCTTGCTGGGGGAATGGCAAGTAATATGGGATAGTCACAGTTTAATGTGTTCACAGGCATGGAAGATGATCTTGGAAAGGTAAGTTGGGGCATGTTTTATAAAGTCTTGAATGCTCTGCTAAGACCTTAGAGTTTTATTTATTTAAAGTTTTACTTTATTCAAAGTTTTGTTCCCCTGTTCTTTTAAGACATAGCCCTTGTTAAATACAACTGCAGTGACGCGTGTGGGGTTCTCCTTTGTTTGACAGTATATCAGGAGTTTGACCACCTCTTGGAGGAACAGTCTCCCATCGAGTCCTACATTGAGTGGCTGGATACCATGGTTGACCACTGTGTTGTGAAGGTTGGTAAACCAGCGCTGAGGGGGCAGCCTTGGGTCCTGCAGCCCACCACCGCCTACTGTGAACTTGGCTAACACAAAGCCCCATGGTGAGCTGTCTGAACAGGGTTTTGAGGAGAGGCCCCAGGAGGTGAAGGGGGCACAAGGCAGGACTCTTGAGTCTTCCATCCCTGATTCAACCAGGTCAGCATCTCTTTTATCTGCGGTATACACTGAGTCTTGGCATAAGATTTCATTTTTTCACAGTATTTTTGCTGCTACAAACAAAACAAAAACCATTGCTCCATAGCAATGACTTTGAAGACCATAAGCCTTCCTGTCATTTTTCTGTATGTATGTATGTATGTATGTATGTATGTATTTATTTATTTTTGAGACAGGGTCTCACTTTGTTGCCCAGGCTGGAGTGCAGTTAGCTCACTGCAGCCTTGACCTCCCCAGGCTCATGTGATCCTCCCACCTCAGCCTCCTGAGTAGCTGGGACTACAGGGGTGTGCCACCATTCCCAGCTAAGTTTTGTATTTTTTGTAGAGATGGAGTTTTGCCATGTTGCCCAGGCTAGTCTCAAACTCCTAGGCTCAAGAGATCATCCGCCCATCTCAGCCTCCCAAAGTGCTGGGATTACAGGCGTAAGCCACTGCAACTGGCCTTATTTTTCAAAGAGACAGTAATAAATGAAAGGTCAAGTTGACCACTATTAAAGCCATTCACTTTCTTGTAGGTGGCTGCCAAGAGACAAGGGTCCTTGAAGAAGGTGGCCCAGCAGTTCCTCTTGATGTGGTCCTGTTTTGGCACGAGGGTGATCCGGGATATGACCCTGCACAGCGCCCCCAGCTTCGGTAAAGCCACCCCAGCCCTCCCCATCTCCAAACACCTTTTTCTCTGGGCTCCGTGCATTGAGTCTACCACAGCCTAACTTGCTGTTTCTGCAACGTCATCACCCTGAAACACATCTGTTCTGGGGAGACATGACATTGTTAGGACTTTCAGGGAGAGAGATGGCGTTACGAGCTAAAGGTGGAGTATCAATCTGAAAATGAGTTGTTTTGCCCACAGATAGTATTATCTGAGCTTAAAGAGGAATAAATTGCAGTGGCTGTGCTCTCCATGCCTAGATGTCCTCAGTGATTGCTGCTTCCACAGCACGATTTCATAGAATCCCGTATTTGTGCACTTCCCAAGACTGAGCATGTGAAGAAACCTCTGAGTTTGAACACTTGCAAATGTCTTGATTGACCATACTCTAGCTGTGGGCAGATGACCTTAAGTTTTATTTAAAATTGTACTCTAGTTTAATCCCTAAAAGAGGTCATTTGCATTCACTTTCCCTTTTGTTTCACTGACCCTTTAAGTCTTCATCACCTCCAGGAGATAGGAGACATCCCCACCTCAAGTCTTCATCTGCTGCTTTCTAGTAAAACACGGCTTGAACTCTGTGCCCAAAGGTACTGATAATAGTCTCTGCGGGCAGCAACCTGATTACTGAATCGGGGTGAATGTTACGCTACATCGTAGGACAGTTTTCTACTTTTCACCAGAAAGAAAGGAATATGTACCGAGTCCAGATCATCACTGGCAAAGTAAGATGGGACTTTTGGGCATTATCCAGACATTTGAAATCCCAAAACATTTTGGTTTCAATTTTCTAGGCATTTCAGCAAAGGAGCATTGGTAAATTTTCTGGGTAATTGCTTCAGTTCTCTATTTCGCTTTGCAAGTAAGGGTTGTGGTTTTGTTTCTCATTATCTCCAATTAAGCCAATCAGCTCTGGGTTTTGCTGTGGGTTTAATTTGACACTTTTCCATCTAGCTTTTTATGGTCTTGTCACCATTTTCCAGTTGTGCTATACAACGAAGTAAATATGTGGGAAAACAAAGAAGGCAGTATTTTTTCTAAACAGCCCTGTCCATGAAAGACTGTGTTTACCCACTTGGAGAAGCGTTTTGTTGTGGATTTCTTTAATCTCAGCATTGGAGATTTCTCTGAACCTGCCTGCACCATGGCTACAGATGGAAATTCTCTTTGAGCTGTATATGGAAATGCTCCACTGACTGCTACCTGGGCAGTGGCATCAGGCACGGCATTTTGATGACTTCCAGTTCAGCACAGTTAGTGTTAGCACATGTTACCTCTAGCTCTGGAGAAATCATTCATGCAGAACTGTTTTCCCTTAAGTGAACTGTTGGAAAATATTTGAGATTTTTTTCATTGCTTCCAAGTCAGAGAATCAACAATATGACACACAAATACACACATATCCACATCCACACAGTGAGCATCCTCTCCATGCTTTATCCTTTATTCTTCAATTTGCTGATTTTTAAACTGACCACGTGTGCTAGCAGGTGCCTTTCATTAGACAGGGAAAGTAATTCCCTTGCAATATTCTTGGAAATGCATCTGTGCTTACTAACAGTCAATGTACAAAAGAAAGTTTGAACAGGAGAATGATTAGGCTTTATGAATGGGTTGAATTTATTACTAAGAAATATGGTTCTTTGAAATGTGTTTCTTTTTGAACCACACACTATTTTGGGATAGATATACTGGAAACTCAGGCAAATGGCAAAAAAAGATGATCACAAATCACTTAGAAAAGGAAAAAAAGAGATATTAACCCAGTCTCAGTTTTACAGTATTTTTCAACCCTGAGTGGGTTGAAATAATACCTGTCTCCAAGTCCATTTAGCAAACTATCTGAAATGGCGGCCCAGCTCATCTGACTCATTGTTGAGTTTTGCAGCTTGGGGTGACAGGCAAGTTAAAAGAGTTTGCGGCAGACAAAAGCCCAGCTCCCCCTTTCTGCCTGTATATGTCAAAGACCCAGTTGGTGGCTGTGTTTGGGTCATGTGTTCCCTGTATGAAAACAGCTAATTAGGAAAAAGAGCCCTCTGTTCCCTGGTCCCCTCCCCCAGCCACAGGGGCCAGCTCTATATATCTTATAACTCCCACATGGTCCTTGTTGCTGTGAATGGCTACAGGGTTTGTGTGTCAGCGTAACAGGCTGACCATTACAATGATCGTGTGGAATATCACAATGATCCCGTAGGGGACTCTATCACCTCTTCCCAGAACAGCCTCTTTCAAAGGTAGTTGACTCCTTTCTTCTCCTTAATTCCTTTTCACTCTCTTCTCCTTAATTCTTTTTAACTGAAAGAACCTATGCTGTGAACTAAAGTAGCCAGACTTTCTTTCTTTGCTGCAAGCAGTGTTTTTAGCAAAATTAGTGAGCAAAGGTAGGCTATCAGGCAAACTTTTAGTCCTAATGGAACTGAGCAAATCAAAGTTTTGTTTTTAAAAAAACACCATCTTTTTAGTCGACTGATCTGATTTCAGTTCCTAGAGTACCTAGATCTCAAGTCGGTGCTAGCGCCTTTACCCTTTCATTCTGGGTTTTCACCAAATGCCTGCTTAGTTCACTGTTACGAACATCTGGAAGGTAATAATAGTTCCCGGAAGCACTCCAGCATAAGTCAGTTTAAAAAGCAGCCTGGGTGTGGGCACAGCTGATGGCACACTTGCACAACACTTCCACGGTTTCACCTTTTTACACACCTGTTGTCTGACCTAGCATCAAAGCTCACTCGCTTGGGCAGGGCCGGGGAGACCATGTGGGCATGTGTCAGGGAGTGGCTCCCAGAACAAGTAGCCACGACCAAGCCTTCCCAACTGCTTCTCTATGCTTAGATGGCCTGGCCTGGCTCCCTTTTAGGCAGAATCTGCTAAATTGCAGGACCTGAATGTTCGCAATGTCATTCAGGTCCCCACCAAGCACTAGGATACAGGAATTGCTTTCCCTGTAGTCAGGAGTGGAAGTAAAAACCCAGAGAAGAGAGGACTTGCGTGTGGACTCAGAGAAGTGGCAGATTGAATTCAACCCACAATCATTCCCATGCTAAAGCTGGAGTTTTTCCTGACATGCTACACTGCCACCACCTCATTTACCTTTCTTTGGGTAAAAGAAAATTAATAATAACAACACAGCAACATTTATTGAGGGCCAGATATACTTTAGACATTACATTTTCTCAATTACTTCTCACACAACCCTGTGAGGTCTGAATTACTGCCCTCAATATGACAGACGAGGAAGCTGAGGTAGAACTTGAAGGATTTGCTTAAGATTGGAGATAAGAATGAAGCAAAGACAAGATAATGACGACTATTATAAGAAATATTTTGGAAGCACATACTGTCATTGAATTATTGCATTAACTCTGCAATGTAGGTAATAATGGATACTTTTCTAAAGACTTGAGAAGGGAGCTTGGAGAATTTCCTTGCACAAGATCAATGCAGCAAATGTCAGAATTCTGTTTGAAAATCAAATCTCCCTGACTACAAAGCCCATTCCTTTTTGATTATCACAATTAAGGCAAATACTCTGGGCTCAGATGCATGCCACAATAGAGTTAGAAACATTTGTTTAATCCACATTGATGATATTATTAATATTTTTAAAAAATCTATGGATTAAGATTAAAAATTTTAAAGCTATGAGAGACAAGAATAATTATTAGACTGTCATGAGTACTAAGAGATGCCAGAAGACAATTGAGTAATATCTTTTAAGTGTTGAGAACAAAGAACTGTCAACTATTATTGAAGAGTGAGGGCAAAATAAAGACATACTCAGTTATACAAAGACAGAATTTGGCACCCACAGATCTTCACTTAAAAAAACAACAAAAAAAACTATTAAAGGATGCATTTCGGCTGGGCACGGTGGCTCACACCTGTAATCCTGGCACTTTGGGAGGTGGATTACCTTAGGTCAGGAGTTTGAGACCAGCCTGGCCAACATGGCAAAGCCCCGTCTCTACTAAAAATGCAAAAATTAGCTGGGTGTGGTGGCAGGTGCCTATAAACCCAGCTACTTAGGAGGCTGAGGCAGGAGAATCACTTGAACTCAGGCGGGCAGAGGTTGCAGTGAGCCAAGGTTACGCCATTGAACTCCAGCCTGAGCGAGAAGAAAAATAAAGCCATAGCTGAGGTCTAGAATACAAGAAACAACAAAGTTGCGGTGTAATAAATTACCCAGGCTTAGTGGCTTTAAGACAACCATTTTATTATGCTTATGAATTTTTCAAGTCAGGATCATGTGCCAGCTTGGGGTTCCACATGCAAGTGCCCCAAATGTGAAGTCACTTGGCTTTTATGATCCAGTCTTAGATACAGTGTAACTTCCCTCATACTCCATTGGTCAAAGGCAGTCCCAAGTCTATCATGGCTCAAGGAGGTGCACAGACCCCAGTTCTTAACAGAGGGCACATCAAAGAATTTAGGGACCCTGTTTTAAGATGAGAGAAATGTAAAAATATGTAAACATATTTAATTAACTATTGAATGTAATTTAAAAACTAAAAACTATATATGTGTTTTAAAAAGTTAAAAATAAGTTCTAGGTAAAAATATAACACGGAGTAATGAGAAGAGAATCTTCAAGGAACAGTTGAAGCATGCTAAGGTCTTTGTCTTCTTTAGGAATACTAAGTAACTTTAGGCTTTGTTGGAGAAATTTATAGTTTGGATTTAATAAATGCTTAGCATATATGTTAACAAATTAAGGTATCATTACTAAAAGAATACAATCATGATTATAGAAGAAAATGGAAGAATATGAAAACTTAAGAGATAAAACATTAAATGGAAAAGAAGAATTGAGAAGATAAAAGCAGCATAGAAAATGGATGGTAAATGAAAGCACAAAATAGGATGGTAGAAATAAAGACCAAATGATAATCACAATAAAGGAGTAAGTCTCTTCCTTCAAAAAACATCAGGCATAAATGTTTTTATAGTTTAACTAAACTTATAAGAAAGTTATAAAAAATATAAA